CCCAAACCCAAACCCAAACCCAAACCCAAACCCAAACCCAAACCCAAACCCAAACCCAAACCCAAACCCAAACCCAAACCCAAACCCAAACCCAAACCCTTTTTCGTTAAAGAATCTAACATATTAAAGTTTAATATTAATGAATACTGTGGCTGATATAGAGAACAAATCAATATAATTTGAATAAAACTTTCCAGAAAATTTTATTGTTACATCAGTAGAATAAATCATTTAATTTATATTTTCAAATCTTTTATACATAGTTCTCATCTAAGAGTCTCTTAAACATATCAAGATAGAATTGAGTAATTTCGAAATAGAAAAGTGTTTTGCTTTTAATTTTTATACAGATGGGTTTATTTCTTCGGAATTCTTAAGTTAAAACACATTTATATTTTAAATGATATACAAAGAGCTGAAAATAGTAAGACTAAAGGCAGAAATTAAAACTACTTCATTTGTATAAGATTAATGTAATATATATTTGATTGAACTTTTAGATCCATAATTGTTACAGGTAAATGAATGTTTAAGGTAATTATTAATAATGACTAATATTATCTCAAATAAGAATAAATATATATAAATGAATTACTTAGACTTGAACATATATGGCAAAAAAAAGAATACCAATTTTAAATTTGGTCTTTTGTGAATTCATAACAAATATTGAAAAATTAATTGAATTATTTGAGATAGTTTTTAGAATATACGAATATTATAAGAAGTATTAATACCAATTAGATAGATTTGTGAGGAATAAGAATTCAGCAAATTATAAAAAAAAAATTAATAATTAAGTTAGATATGATAATCTGTTTAAACTTTATTATTAGATAGTGAGAATAAGATAGGAAAGGATAAATAACAAGGTCGAATTTAAATCTTCATATGCTAATATTTACAAGAGCTTAATTTTTTATTTTTAGATATTGTTAAAAAAACACAAATGAATTTAGATAATATTAATATGATATTTAAAGTTAAATCTTCTATCTTGAAGGATAGCATTAATTGATAGAAGTTACACCAGTTATTCTAAGCAAATTTAGAATTTTAGTTTCTGTAAAATTTACACTCATAATCAAGATTATATTATCAATAATAACCTGTTCTCTATTTGCGTTACTATTACAATTGAGCAACAGGTTTTATCAATCTTTTTTATTCATTAAGACTTACGAGCAGTCATGTACTCATTATCTAATCGCCAATTCAAATCATTAATAAATCATTTCTAAAAAATTAATAATCAACAATATTTCTTATTTTGCTTATGAGTTTATGTACATCATATCTAAATTATAGATTTTAAAAGTATTAACTTGATAATGACTCATTTTAACCAGTTGATTTTCTTTAAAATTCAGCTATAGTTACTAACTAAAATTAATTATAAATGTTCATTAATAATGACTTAAATCACGAGTTAAGATATGAAATATATGTTAATATTAGTAGTTGCAATATAATCGTTTTTAACTTATTTATTTTAAGAATTAACTAGTCCTTTTTAAATATTATAGTATTTTTCTATATTATTATGGATTATTGAAAGTATTTATTAATATTATATAAATAGGTTTTTATTGCTTTCGATTGTCTTAATAACTTTTTCATTTTTGGTTTGCTTTATTAATTATTTTCTTATAAGAAAATCTAGAATCTAACTGTAATAATTAGCAAATATTATTCTTGATTGAAGAACATCTTTAATTTAATTGTGATTGCCTACTAATTCAAGGTGATGTTGTGGTTAATGAAGCCACATTAACTGGAGAGACAAAATTGTACAATTATTTACTTGTTAATTTTTTATAAAATAAATATAAAAATAAATTGAGAATTTATTAAGAAATTTTAATGCCTATTCCAAAACAATCTATTTAAGAGTTATCAAATGATAAATATACGCTTTTTGAAGGTA